CATATATATATATATATGTGTGTGTGTGTGTATATAAATATTTAATACAAGTTAATGCATTATAATTTCGCTCTATTATTTTTTGGTTATTATTTGTATTAGAAGAAGATTAAGGAATAATAAAATAAAAAGGTATTTTATTATATTTCAACTTAATTGCATTATATGGGAAATAAGTAACTTTATATTATATAACATAAGCAGATCTTATTAAATTAGAAAGCGATAAAATTGACAAAAAATATAACATAGCAAGAATATTATAATATTCTTATTGTATTTTGTTAATTTGTAAAAAGCTATTAAGAATCTCCAAAATCATCGTTTTTATTTTTTTGATACCATTTTTCTCAAAATTTTCTCGAAATTTTAAATAGCCAAATTTGTACAACGGATTCAGCAGGCAAAAATAGGTCGGAAATGACTATTTACAGTGTTACAAAAAAAAATTACAAATTTTGTTGAACAGTGTAATTAGTAATTATTTTTGTGTATTCTTTAATTTAATTTTATTTTCGATTATACTTGTATAAGTAATTACCTTTTTGATATTTTGGTAACTTTATTATATATTTTTTCAAATTATGTAAAAAATATCCTTTTTCATAATATTAATATTTTCCTTCGTTGTGTTAAAATATCACAATATCAAAATAATATAATAAATTTATTACAATCAAATAAAGCTTTGTACTCTTAAAAAAGCACATTTTTAATTTAATTCAATTTTTCATTATTATATACTTCTATTGAAAGTCATCCTATCTGCATATGAGAACAAAATTGACACATGCCCTTATAAAAAGTCTAAATTTTAAAAAATTCTAATTTATGTAACGATTTCTCCATTTTAATAAAGGTAGATTAAATAAAAATAATTAATGATGATAAAGATAGGTGCAACGTGTTTAAAATAATTAAAATAATTAAAATAATTAAAATTAAGTAGAAATTTTAGAAAATAAATAAAGTTAATGACAAAACTAAAAGAATATTAGAATTATATATATCAGTTATTTTAAAATTTATGTGCAAAGATATTTATAATTTTTAAGAATTTTGTAATATTATATAAATAAGTAATATATAAAAATGAGAGAAATAATTTAATATTTATTTTAGTTTGTTTAAAAATAAGGTTTTTACTTTTAAAAAAATATCTATTTCTTTTTTTGAATTTTTAAGGCATATTTTGTATTTCCTCGTACACATGTGTACGTACAAAAAAAATGTACACTTAAGATAAAAATTATTTGTTATCACTATTGCGATGACTCATATAATATTCTAATAATTTAGATATAGAATATGCGTTTATATAGCATATATATGCATTATCTTAAGTAACCATAATCTACTTTATGCATACGTAAGATAATGATATAATTATGATATAAATAGATATAATACAGTATATAGGATAGCCCACATAAAATGAGACAAATCAATAACTTGAAAAATTTAGAAGATACGGAAAAATTTTTTAAACAAAAATGAAATAGTTTCGAGGGATAATATTGTATTTTGGTCATGTTGTTTTTTTCTAAGTGAAGACAGCAAAAAATACGAAAATCCCCTCCACTTTTAAAATAAAATTATGTGATTTTTTTACATAATATGATTTCTCAAATAATTTTACATGTAAATATAATAAAATAGATAGTTAGAAAACTAATAATTTACGAGATATTTATACTATATATATTCTGGTACATATTGATATAAAATATTAAAACACTGTCGAAAACTATTTTATAACACAAGTGTAAATAATCATTTTTGATGATTTATGCCTATTGAACATAAATCTATTGACCGAAATTAGTTATCACATTTCATTGAAAAAAAGACATCAAAGAGAAAAACAATTTGAGAGTTTTTAAAAGTTACGTTCAAGTTGAGAAAATATAATATAGCAAAAAAAATACATATAATCTTTTACCAATTGCATCCAAGCAAAGATGATCGCCTACTTGCTGATTATAATAATAATGATGGCCATATAAAACAAATGCCAAACGATAAGCGACTGGTTAAGTGCAGGCAATTCGCAGCGATAATATCAAAAATAGGTGCCACACAGCACATTTTATTTGCTGAATCATATTTAAACGCATGTACGCGTCCAATTACTCGCTCGCAATAATGATTGGCATAATGTTTTATTGTTCCAGAATAAGTTATATTATATTAATTAATGTTATAATAGAATGAA